AGATTAAATCACTTTATTAAAAACCAGAAATTATCAGCATGGATATAAAAAAATCAGTTATATGCTGCTTATAAGGCACACTGCTATACACACATGCACACACACACACTCTAAAACAGAAAATATAAAAAGGAAAAAAAAGAAATATACTAAGCATATAGGAACCAAGAAAGAGCTGGTGCAACAATATCTGTGAAAATAGAATATGAAGTCAACACATTAATGTGAATAAAGCAAATAAGCTATACTTCATGAAAGGGCTATAGAAATTATAAATTTGTATGTACCTAAAAATATAAACTATAAAACACCAAAAGCCAACAACTACAAAAATTCAGAATTACAAAATAAAATTGAAAAGCTCATGTAAGCATAATGGCAAAATTTAACACCTCTTTCAGAAACTACATATTTAGAGAATATATAGAGAATCTGAGGAACACATATGACATAATTGTGAATTTACATATGCCTGCACTCAAAAGACAACACAACAGAGGATACACATTCTCCTAAAGCATGCATGCAACACATTAGATATTTATAAAATTAACTATATACTCTCAGTCACAAAAAGTCATAGTTATTCAAACCATATTATTGGATTACTATGCAATTTATTTAGAAATTAACTACTACAACTAGTAATTAAAATCCTATAGGTTAGAAAATCTGAAAAAAAAAACAAAAGCTTAAACAATGAATAAGTTAAAAAATACTTCACAAGAATCATAAACTGTAATGGTTTTATCAACAAACTAAAATACGAAAAATTTGTGAGATATAAAGCAGTACTTAGAAGTTATGAATAGTCTTATTAAATATATTTACTAAATGTAAATGAGCTAGCATTTAATCCAAGAAGCTAGATGAAGAAGTGAAAACAGTAAGAAAGTTGAAGCAACAGAATTGTAAAAGCAAAACACAAATTAATAACCTAGGAAAAAACATTAATGGAGATGATTTTTAAAATCTATTTCTTTGAAAGCTAATAAACTAGGCAAGCCTCTAGAAAGTTTGATCAAGGTAGATGTATACACACATAAATGCATTATCATATAATGGAATACTAGACGAAGTGAACCAGGTCATCAGTACAGAGGAATCACAAAACATATGGTGAAAAGATAAAATTGCTGAGTGATAAGAATTTCTGTAGTTTACTTATTCATTTAACAATGTTTTGTATGTTTATATATACAAATCGTGTGTGTGTGTGTGTATGCATGGGTATGTTGTGGATATTTATGTAATAAAATCACCTCTAACATTTTCTTAAGAAGTGTGAAGCACGTGGTGAAATGTTAGCATTTTTAAATCTTTCAAGAAATTAAATTAATATATGCGTGCTTGGAGTTTCTTTTTTCCCCCTTTACTCAATCCCATTCTTCCACAGAGGTAATCATTATCCTGAAGATGGTGTTGCTTTGTTTTGTTTTTTCTTTCCCAACTAGTTTTATATTTTTACATTTTGGAAAACTCCCGTTCTTTCAAAGCAGTTTCTCTTTTTCCATTTTAGGAAATTATAAATTTCCTTTGACAGTTTGGTTTTCTAGTTGTTTCTTTTATTTGACAAAGGAATGATACCATTTTTTAAAGATTAAGCCAACTAAATTAATACTCACATTTAGGCCCAGGACCATAGGGAAACCAATTTTTTCTTAGCACCAATTATGTTGTGGGTAAGTAAAACAAAACAAAACTGGAAAATAGAGTCACCATCCACTATAAATCTTCAGAGTATTATTGGCCCATTCGGCTAGCATAGAAAGAATTACAGAAAAATATAAAAGGCATTGTTCAGTGCTCTCTGAAAAAAGGTGGCTTCTTGTACTAATATATATTCCATTCACCAAATTCTTACATGTTGCTTTTGTGGAATAAAAATTGAGTGATTATATATATATACCACTTAATTTATCATGGTAATTAATCCCAACCATCCATGATATTAATTTTCTGTTATTGGTAGCTTGTGAGTCGCTTTCTTTTGGGAATAAAATAAGAGAGTCATTCTAAGTACCTCTATTTTACTTCTGGAGATGTTTAACCTTAACTACATCACTAAGTGCAGATTGACTGATGATTACACATATCTTACTCCCGGGTACGGTAAAGGCCAATATCAGAACGTCTAATTGCCTTTTATTCATTCTAGATTAGGCAAATAAGTTCTTTTATACTTTATCAGAGTTCCCAGGATCTTTTCCTCAAATTTAAGAAATAAATTGCTGTTCTCAAGGAGATGTTATGCTTGAGTCTCCTGAGGGAAATACTAACATTTATTAACCATTTTCCTAGGTCAGGAATCTCTTCTTTGAGTTGCCATTGACAAATAGGTTCAATTTCAGCTTTTCTTTATCTCCTGGTATTTCTAGCTCCTCTTCTTTTCAATTTTTTTTAAAAAATATCTTCCTTGGCTTAAAAACTCACAGATGCATGGCCCAGCCATGTTTTTTTGCCCCTTTTATTCTGGATTGTTGATATTTAAAAGAAATTTCATACAAAAATGCAATTATTCCCAAATGCATCACACCGGTATCACATTTTTTGCATAATGAATAAAAATAGTATATCCCAGAACTTGTGAATAAGGCTGTGAAGTCATATCTAAAAAAATTGATCAAACTGATGATGTCTTATTGCCACCCATTGAAATTCCATATGTGCTGTGTTCTACCTCTTCAGTTTTAAAAACTTGCAGTATATATAAAATCTCTACACTCTTTGAAAATTGAACATATTCATTCATACATTTTCTTGAGTGGAAGTTTAGCCAGGCATTAAAAGTAATATAAAACTAACACAAGATATAGTTGTTTACCACAGGAATTTGGATTTGCTGAATAATGTATGAACACACTGGCATAATTCCTGATGATGCAAAGCAGCATACGAGCCCACCTCTAGTAGGGGCAGCGCTCATGTAAAGAACAATTAATTTGAGATCAGGAAGGCTTTGTGAAATTTCTGGGAGTGGAGAACCCAGATGGCTACCTAGTTAGTGGGTGGAAACGTAGAGACCAAGGAGAGGTGAGAATTATAGTTAGAAAAGTGAGTGTGACTTATTCAGGGACCAGGAAAGTGTCTGACCTAGCTAAAGCAAAGGATCTACAATGGGAAAGAGTGAAGACAAAATTGATTACTAGAGCAGGTGGCATTGTGGAGGATCTAAAAAAAGACATTTTTTTTCTGAAAAAATAAAAAATCCAAAGATCTATTGAAATCCATTGATGGCTTCTTAGCAGGTGAGTGAAATGGTAAAATCTGTGACTTAAGAAGAAATAAATTCAGAGCAATGTTTACTAATGTATGTTCCCAGGATCATTAATTAATGGGGTTATTCCAAAAGGGCCAAGTAATGTCAAATAAATGTGGAAAAAACTGGAGCATTTGATTTCCAAAAGGAAGATACAGAATTTCCCAAACCTACTTGACCAGGGAACCGTTTCTAGGAAAACTGTACTCAGATCATATATTCTATATATATTGATGCCAATCTCAGTTTATACACTGACATATGTAATAAATGTCCAATTCTGTATTTTGAAATAGCTCACTTGGTGTCTAGTTTGATTCTCTGTTCCCAGATTGGTAGAAATTCAGGATCTCTTAATTTCCCTCAGGAGTGTGTCTATGTTCTGGAGTCTTCTAGTGCCAGGGAGTTAGGAGGCTATGAAATGGTGAGATGGCACTTACCTGGTGCTTTGTGTCATTGATGTATACTAGCATCTGCTGAGATGTCCTAACTGCTCTCTTGTTCTGGGGAATTGGTCAGTACTACTGTTGTTGAGACATGTCTTTCAAACCTGGTGGCTCTCTGTATTTCTTCCATACTATTCTGGAATTGATGGGAATACTTTACTTACTGATCTGTTCCATGCTGAGGTGTAAGAAACTCTCTGTGGGCCCACAGGGCCCCATCTTTCTTAGACAAGTCAGTTAGCTATTCTGTGAGGCCTTCCTGCTTTCTTTTGGCTTCTATCCAGGAAAAGGGGCAGATGTCCCATGTACCTAATGGTTTTGGGCTTTTCCCATGAAATTTCCACCTAAATCTTCTACTCTATGCCATGAATAAGTTTTGTTTCCTAGAAAGCTAAATTTTTAAAACTCATAAGCAACAAAGAGCTCCCTTTTCCTCATATTCTCCTATAGCTTCTATTCCCTGAGTAAGTGATTTAGTTGTCCGTAAGACAGCTTAAGACAGGGAGAAGGATAGAGGCAAAGAATACGTGAGGTAAAAAATCAGTTATTATTTCAAAGATAGTTTCTACCACACTTGGATGCCTTTTAGGAAATGCTGATTATAATCCACTGAGGATTAAAAGTCGATGAATAAAAGGATATGTGTAGTAGTGGTGCTGCCTTGAGTTTTGATTATCATGTGTGGTCTTAATAAATAATGAATGCCTCCTTGTCTTGTAAATCACTGTCTTTGGCATGGTCCTTTGCACAGTCCTCTCCCACATTACCTCTTGAAAAGCCTTTCTTGCTTCTGGGAACTCTTCCCCCACCATATGTTCAAGACATGGGGACCAGCGGGGAGCCAACACCAATAAACAGACTCCTAGGTTAGCTCCAGATGAGCTGCCAGCTGACTTCAGGTGCACAAGTGACCTCAGCTGAGACCAGAACTGCTCAGATGAGCCTCCACTGAAGTGTTGATATGAATCATAAGCAAATAAAATAGTTGTCTAACCCATTGAGTTATGGAATTATTTTTATTACATCAATATAAAAATATACAATACACTACAGTACAAAAGAGTACATAATATGATATGGTAGGCATTGAAGACAGAGGAGATACTTTGTGGGAAGATTTCCTCAATATGGATAATATGAGATGAGGGAGAAGAAAAATTCAAATGGGATGAGCAAGTTCCTTGGAAGGGGCTCATTTTTTATTCATTGGAAAAGGAATTCATTTCATTTTCTATTTTATAGAAAATAAAAAAGAAGAGTCAAGTGTCACTATGGAGATTCTAGTCTTCAGTGACTCAGAAAATTGTAGACAGGTAGCTGGGTGGACCCATGCCAGATGGGGTCTTGGTATCATTCTGCAGTTGTGCCTTTTTGAAAATCACTACCACTCGCACTGGCTTGGATTCAAGAGATTGTTTTTCTGTCACTGATGAAATGAAAAACAAACAGTTGTCTTATATAAGCATATTCTCAGACACTACACGAGATTTATCTTAATTCCTGATGACATGTATTTTCCTAAAGATTTCCTCAAAGGAATGAGGTAAACGTCATAAAACGAAAATGTCAAAAATATGGAGGGATTGATGATACCTGTCTCCAGGTTCTGAATCGAAAGTCTACCTTATAAGGTGCATTGCTGCCAGTTAGCTGTGATTAGCTAGGCTCAAAGAATACTAGCTCTAGTCTCAGGGGCACTTCTCCTAGTCCTATTAATGGCTTTTTTTTTAATGGCTTTTTTTTTGAAATTTATTTTATATCCATCATCTTATTTAATCTTTACAACAATTCTAAGACTTAGACATTATTTATATATCCACATTTTAGAGATGAATAAACTGATACTGAGCTAGAATAACTGGCCAGAGATAATATAGCTGGTAAATGGGGGCACAGGAATTTAGACTCTGGAGAGGTCGTTTGACATCAAGTCAAGTCCTTTTTTCTCAATGATGCCAGTTCTTTTCAACCCGTTTCAAAGGGCACTGGAATCCTTTGGTGCCTCAAGAGCCCCTGAGCAAAAAGTGGAGGGAGGGGAATAAAGGCCCCTCGCTCTGGCTTCAACCAGAGCACCTCTAATACCCATAGATATATATATTATGTTTATATATTTATATAGGGTAAGTATCTAATTATATATATAACTACATATATATGTATGATGTTTTATGTGTGTATATATATATATTTAGCACCCATTTAGAATTTTGTTAGAAAAACTTCCCAAACACGGTAGCATACCATGGTGAGTCCTAATGCCGATACGATCTACACTAGAAACTTCTTGAAATCAGAGACCTCATCTCATCCTTTCTTTGGTCTCACAACAGTGTGGAACCTCCCTTGACCTGTGAGCCAGCCTTCGGAAGAAGGAGCAGATGGAAATCATTGCCCTGGCGATGCTCTGGGCTCCAGAACAGCGCTGTCGAAGCATCTCCCTTGACCCCTGGCAACCTTGCTGTCTGCTTCTCACTAAAGCCAATTAAATTATTCACGGTACCTGCAGCCTTCTCGCTGTTATCACGACTCATTGAGTTCTCTCCCAAGAGGGAAGTGATGTCTTCTCCAAATATCCTGAGGCAATTTTCAATGAGAAATTGTACAAGAGAAATCTGTAACACAAAAAGATAAAAATGGGGTGCTCTTTTTCATAGGGCATAGTTATAAATCACATTTTGTGTATAGACCTTGGACCTAAGAAAAAATGTGAAAGACTTCCCAGAAAAATTCAGAGTTGATAAAAATACATAGAAACCAGGGGCGCCTGGGTGGCTCAGTCGGTTAAGCATCTGCCTTCGGCTCAGGTCATGATCCCAGGGTCCTGGGATCCAGCCCTACATCGGGCTCCCTGCTCCGTGGGAAGCCTGCTGCTCCCTCTCCCAATCCCCCTGCTTGTGTTCCCTCTCTCACTGTGTCTCTCTCTGTCAAGTAAATAAATAAAATCTTTAAAAAAAATGGAAACATAGAAACCAGAGTTCTCTAAGAAATAACTTAGAAAGAGTGATACTTTCCAGTGTACTTTGGGTACAGATTTTAAAATACTGCTCATCAGTGGGCTATGAGTTTAGTCAGTCTAGTGTTTAGTCTCCTGGATGGGGAAGACGTTATAATAGTTATAATTAACTGTCTTCCGGCTGGAGTCTAAGGAAGAAGTGAGAGTAATAGTAGTAGTAGTTGTTGTTTAATTCGCTTAGGGAAGACGTTATAATAGTTATAATATAATGTAAAGTTATAATGCGTGGCCTAGTTTAATAGCTAACATTTTGGTATCAGTGGCTACATCTTTAAGACTAGGATAAATGTCGGGGTGCCTCAGTTGAGCGTCTGACTCTTGATTTCGGCTCAGATCACGATCTCATGGTGGTGAGATCGAGCCCCACAGGGAGCCAGCACTGGGCTCCGTGCTCTGCGGGGAATCTGCTTGGGCTTCTCCCTCTCCCTCTCCTTCTCCTTCTGCCCCTGCCCCGCTCACGCTCTCTCTTTCCCTCTCTCAAATAAATACACATCAAAAAAATACATAAATAAATAAATACATAAATACGTAAATAAAACTAGGATAATTTTCAAAGTAGCCTGCCTTATTAAAGTTTACTTATTTGTTGTGTTTAAATTTTGTTTCCAGTTTTATTGAGCTGTAACTGATGTATAACATCTTATTAAAATTTGTAAAGTAGGAACAAAAACTTAAGAAAACCGTTTCTTAAACGAAGAAGTATCTTAAAGTTGGGAAGCAGTGATTTTTGTGGGGTTGTGAGGGAAAACCCACACAGCTGGAGAGAAAACGTATCTGTCTGTCTAACTTCAGTCCCTTCTCATGCATTGCTTTGCCTCCTGCTGGCTCTCTGTGTGAGCTTGGGGAAGACCTGTCATCTTATCAGGATGTTCTGGAATCTTTTACTAGTTTCCGTATGACGTAGCAGAGGTGAAATGGCAGCCGAGTGTTTTTCTAAGTGAGCCACAATGTGCAGAGGAAGGCCAGTGTGTTTGGAGCCATGGGTGCTCATATTGCCCAAGCCACCTAGGAGGTGCCGGTGATGACCGGAGGAGCTGGGTGTTGTCGCCATCGTGTAGTGAGGAAACCATGGCTTTGCCCAAGGTTACAAGTCCCTCAAGGACTAGGCTGAGAGTTGAACCTTGCCTTGTGAAGCTCCAAGGCCCAGGTTCTTTTCTATCGTATCCCACGACTCTTCTCTGTCTTGTTTAGTCAGTCTAGTGTTTAGTCTCCTGGATGGGGAAGACGTGACTCAACTGCTCCGAGTTTCCCGTTTAACGACACCCCTTCCCAGACCCCACCAGAGTAGGATAAAGAACTCTGCCACTCCACAGGGGCCTAATGAAAAGGTGCACTTCACAAAGTTCCATCCATCAGAGTTACTGCTGCACATTTCCGGTTCAAAGTAGGGATTCTACCCCCGGGGGGACAAAAATGAGAGCTCTCGTTACCTGTTTGATGAAGTTGTCTTCCAATTCCACGCTGCAGGAATTAGGTGGACAAAGAATGCTTGGGGCTATACACACTGATAAATTATAAGCTGTCATCTGATTGGATGAGGAATGTTGCTCAATGTTGTATAACACTCCAAAAAGGTATCGCAAGAGAACAACATTTGCTCTTGGCAGCTGCGCTAAAAGCCTAAGGTCAGAAAAATACACTTTTAAATTAGGCAAGTGATTCCACTTAGGAGGTTGGAAGTACAGAGACAGGGAACAGGATACATCCTTGTATATCTAGTACACAGCCCGCTGTAGCAGAGTTCCAGGCATGAATGTATACAAAATTGTTTCACGGAATTCAGTTCCTGAGCCAGATAAAAACTTCTCTGGTTAGGTAAATGTTTGACAGACTATTAAGGGCATACCCCTGGCAGTCGATGCTCTGGCATCTCTCTTGGACCAATGGATTTCGTCTACCAGTTTCATGTATCCAGAAGGTGTAAAACGGCCAAGGATTCCACGTTAATAAGGTCAGGAGAAGAACAACAATAGCCCTAAAGCGTGCCTCTATTGTGAAGCTGGCCC